GCTGAGTCCCAGCTCCAGGGGGATTGAACAGATGTGCTCAGAGAATACCCAGCTCTGGCCCAAAATCCTGCAGGCAGGCCTGCCTGTAAAGTCTCCTTGGAGCTCTATGAATAACCAAGGCCTCACTTTGTCTTTCCCAAATCTGGGCTTGCACTCAGAGCCCTGCATGAGTAGATCATTTATAACAAGAGATTGCACTGGCTCAGTGTGTTTTGAGATCTGTGTTTCTTCAGAAAAGCAGGAGTGGCAAACATCACAGAGCATCTCTTATTTTCTTCTTTTGGAGTTCAAAAGGCTTTCAGGCTTCTGATCTACAACTAGAGGATCTGATCTGCTATTTCACTACATATTTACTGAGCATCTCTGATGTGTCTATTGTCTGCTGTACACCTACTGCAGCACAGCGCTTCCATGCCCCAGGATGCTTCCTCAGAACTGAGGCTGCAGCAGAAGTACCTCAGGCACTCCTGATGATACTGCCTATATCTACCTATACATTTGGCATGCTATAGATTGTTCTGGGAAGAATACAAAACCGAGGCTCTGAAAGATAAATTTGGGTCATGATGATTACATGAGCCTCACCCTCCTCTTGCAGGATGCTATAGTCACTGTCTCTGTCGCTGGACAAAATTCATTCCTGTCCTGCCATATAAAAATTCTTTAATTTCAGTTAGTGTTTTCACCATTTTTCCCCTCTCCTCTATGTTCTTTTCCCTCCTATATTATCTTTAAGTAATCAAAGTCTGAATTATCGATCCCTTTTCTAGAAAAACAGCCCTGTGCTCTGCATTTTGTCACAAGTGCAGTTAAGCTGCTGCCATGGGACCGCTCTCCTACGGCCTGAAGCTCAGAAGTCACCTTTGTTTCCTCTCTTAAGATTGCTGAATGGGAAGCCCCAGTGAAGCCTGTCTCATCTTAGTCTCTCTCATGTCAGATACAATATGTATACATCTCGCTTTGTGATGTCAAAATTAAAAAAAATAAATCATAGCTTTCCAATTATATGCCCAAATTTTCAGTTGAGATGTCTCAGACAGGATTTCTTTTTCCTTTATACAAACACATGCTATGCACAATGAGGTAAAGAAAAAAAAGGCCTGGAGTCTGTCTGAGGAAATATAATTTTTTTCACTTTTAAACCTAGCAGGAAAAAAGACTAAATTTCAGGTTTTATTTCTTTTCTTTTCATGCATGTTAAACTTTTTTTTTTTAAAAAAACAATAATGACCAAGAAGATCTAGATGAAACATAAAGAGGAAATGTTTTTTCATTTTCAATCACAACAAAATTGATTGTATTTTTCAATGCAAGAGCTAAATTCCTCCGACTTCCAACTGAAGGAATTTTTTTCCAAACTCAAATGGCACATACGTGTGTATCTCCCATAAATTAGGGGAGCTTTTAGAAGTTGCTGTTGTTTAAATGGTGTTATTTTATTTTTCCAGTGAGATAGCTATACATTGGTAGCCTTCAGCCTGCTGTCCTTCAGCCCTGTGTGTGATCTAAGTACCAAGCTGATCTTCTCTCAGATGTTTCTCACTAAGGCAAGCTCCCAGCACCAGGAGAGGCAGCCTGTCTGAGTAACAACTAAAGGAAAACAGCTTTCAGGTTTTAGCATACAGAAACATAAGCTGTAGTTTAATGGCTTAAAAGGCAGAAGGTTTGCTCTTGAGCATGGATCCAAACCTCACACAAACACCATGCCCACATACATGTCCAGCAAAGTTTCCAGAAGGGTCTGTGATGGTCTGCAACAGAGGATGAGTCAAATGGTAAGGCAGCAGAAGAATCAGTCCCTTCTCATCAGCAGTCTCAGTTCTTCACCTGTACCTGGAGGTTAGTCAGTCTCCAGGCCTGAAACAGAGGTAGAGCTCTAACTACGTCTCTGTCCTGTAGTTGTAAGATAAGGCTGCCCTTTTCATGGGATGCCAAATTGTTGCTTTTTGAGCAAGAGCCAACATCCCAGGAAGAGCTCAGCCTGAGCCAAATCACCACTCGGGCTTGTTACTTACTCCGTGGTGATAACCTCTGGCTTAAAACCACATTTGCAGCACTCAACTGTAGAAGAGCTGATGGGCTAAATTGCTTCCTGAGTGGCACTCACAAATAAATATTTGAACTATCAAACAAAAAACAAGACTCTGAAGCAACAGCAAAACCAGCAATTAGTTTAAATTTGTCATTGAAAACGTAAATTTTTTTGAGGCTGAAAATAGTTTAGCTACAACATTTTGCTAAAAAGCCAAAAGACACCATATGAGCTGTTTTCCAGGATTCAGCAAAGGGAAAGAAGATAAAACAGAACCATGAAAAATAAAAAGACCACAGAACCGGCACTGCATCCATTTCAGCCCTGAGTCTGTGGTGTTGCTTTGGTTCCAGCTGCTATCAGGACAGCAGTAGTGCTTCAGCCTCCTGACTGCACGGTATGACATTGCTGCTGAGGAGCTGTGGGGCCATGCAGACACCAAAATCCCACCTGGAGGGACACCCTCATTAGTTCCAGCCTCATGCTATGGTAGCCACCCTGTCTCAAGAACTGGGAACAGGGAGCAGGACTGCACGTGCAGGACATCTTGATCACCACCACTAACAGAGCAGGGATGTCTTTTTCTGTAGAAAGAGCTGTGTTCAAAGAAACATAGAGGTCTTGACAAACATAGAAACCCCACAAAATGCTCTCTGCTGGATACAGACATCCTCTCTGGAGGTGATTTTATGCTCTCAGCCCATTCATCTTTTAAGCTCCCAATGAGAATTAGATGCAATGAGAATTAGAACAAACCTTTTCATAGATGTTATTAAGGTCATTCACTGCCATTCAGATGTTTTGTTTTATGCAGTTTCAGGTGGGTCATGTGCTTATGAGGCTGGGCCCCACACTGGATTTTAAGTGCAGGTCCTTTAAATCACTACCTCATGCCAGGTTTTCCAAGCCAGTACTTTCCAGTTCTTTTTGTGGATTTATAGGTTTCCCAAAATTATCCAGGGGAGATGCAGATTACCTGTCATTAGGCTGCCTTCTCCTTAAGGATCTCTGCATGGCTGTCCACATCCCCTGAGGGAATATAAATGCAAACCCACTGCCTGCCAATGCCTTCCAATATCCAAGACCTTGGAATTAAACTTGTACAATATTCAATTATATTGCATCAAGTAATATGTACAGAAAACCTTTTCACAGGTGAAATATTCTCTGAATCATTTAATAAGTCAAGCTACCTTTTATTTTAACAGCATAGTTAGTGTTTTTCACATAATGTTTAGGTGTGAAATCATTAGCATGAATAATTCAGCCATGCTCTTTTATCTTCTTTTTTTTTCCTATTCACACTCTCCATTAACAAAGAAAACCTGGTGAGCAGAGTGCTGCAAGAACAGTAAATTCATGAGTTGAAAAAATAAAATATATATGCTGAAGAGTTTCTAAGAGTGTTTTATTATTCCCGAAGTACAATATAATTACAGCATTTGTTGATTCTAACTTTGTTATACTTTCTTTGACCTATTTGTTAAAACCTGCCTGCATATAATGTGTTTCCTGTACAAAGCAAATCTGTGGAATAGAAAATAGCACTGCTGACATTATTATGATAGGGCAAAGAAAATAATGTAAAATGAATTTACTATGAGTTTAGCGAATATCAAAATTATCACTGCATCCATTTAACTCACCATTTAAATCAATTTGCTTTATTCTTCCACAAGATTCCTGCATCATTCCCTGCTCTTGCTCTTTCTTCTCATGCCCCACACTCACTCTGTAGCTAGCTATTTAATAATTTTTTTACATCTTTCTCATTCATTGTGTGACCTCAGTGCCTTTTTTGCTGCACCATTCTGACTCTCTGTGGATGAAAAATTTACTAATGCCCTCAAAGTCTTTTGGTGGTGGTTGGTTTTTTGTTTGCTGTTTTTCTTTTTTTATGTCACAATATTTTAAGTTCACTTGCCAAACTGAAGGGATATTAAATTTCCCAATTAGACAGGTTTAAATTACTTATGTTGCAGATTAACCTATGAACTTTCTCTTCAGAATCTTCCTGATAAATGACAGAAGAGTTTTCCTTGGTATATGTAAAGCTTATGCAAAATATGATATAAAATACAGCAAAGCCATAAGCTGCTGATAGTAGGTTCCCATAACTGACAGTGTTAAGAAACCAGCACTGCTGGATTTGGAGGTTCAATTAAATCAATAATAACCACTTAGGAAAAACTGGCCTTGGCATTTGTAATGTCCTGTATTTTTTGTAGTATGGACTATTCCATCCATCTTCAAAATATATTTCAAAGAAATGACACAATTTGAAAACCAGTTGATTTGATCAAGTGGCCCAATCCTTTTATTCCTATGAGTCACTCTGCAGGGAAAGTGATCTTTTTTCAATATATTTTTGTCTTTAGAAAACATTAACATTTAACTATATTTATGTGAACATGGAAATTCAAGCTTTCTCATTATTTCATGTTGATTTTTAGAAAAGCTACAGCTGGGCTTTCCTTTCATAACTGATTATCAACTGATTTTTGGCTCAAAACTAAGAAGAAAAATTTCCCATTATTTATTTAGCTATTTAATTGAGTTGCACTGAACATGTTTTTAAAAAGATAACTGTGAAACCAATATTATAGTAATGTTAGTTGGTGGAAATAATTAACTCTAATTTTTGGGTTAATTAATGGGAGTAACTTTCTTAGGGGAAAGGGACATTCAGATGTAGATTAAAGAAAAAACAATTTTAAACTCTGTTAAAATCAAATGAGATCAAAATCAAGTGAGCCATAGGGTGGCTAAACATGTGGGAGCATGGAATCAGCTGTGTTTAGAGCAACTATTTTCTTCTTTTAAAGAGGAAAAGAAGGGAAATTAGCAAGCCCACCTTGGTTATAATTCTGTAGGGGTTTATGGTAACTGTTGGTAAAGTTCAAGGGTTAAGGTGCATACAGAGCCACCACTTATCCAGCTGGCAGGGAGGGCAGGTTTATTAACTTACCTTGTGTTTCACCGAGGCTTTGCTGGGCACAGCACAAGGGTACTGGACTCTATTCACCCATGTGAATAACAAACAAAGGGCTTTAAATGTTGCTTTATGATTGCGCTGGGAAGGAATATGTCTGGTCTATTTTTATCAGCTTTGTGTCAGAGAAAGAGATGTCTTCTTTTCAAGGCTTTTCAAAATAGAGAGTCCTTAAAAACGCGTTTCACTTTATCAGCTCACAGTGCTCCTGCAAACAAAAATGAGACAGGGAAGAACAGGAAGGTCAAACTTGCATAAACACACTGTTGCATATGTTGACTGCCAAGAGAAAGAGCAGCATGAAGCTGAACTGAATGCATTATACAGAGAAGACAGAAGATGCTACTCTGGCAAAGTCAAATTTTATGCAAGCTCTCATGGGATAAAGCTTAGAACTACTATTTCCTTTTAGTAATGTAAGAAGCATAAACTAAAATGGATTTTTATGAATCTGGCATGATGTTTTAATGACAAAGGGAAAAAGAGTTTTTGAATGTCTTTGTTTTGAAGTACATCCTATGTATTTTTCTGTTTCCATCAGCAAAAATCTAAATTTCCTAGCACCATCCTTCTAATAAAGCTCTATTTCTCTTCAGGAATCCCACTTGCTGCTGCAGAGAGGCATCCACTAGAAGCTGACCTCCATATCTTGAATTTCATATGTAATGAGTAGCTAAATCTGACACCAAATGATTTTAGGAAGAAAATTCAAAGTCAAGCCATTTCCTTTAAAAAAGCCATTTGAAACCCTTTGGGGAACAGAAATGGAAACATAATTTAAACTCACTTCCCCACACAAGTGACTTGGATTAACTTCAATAAATCCAGCGTTTACTATGCACAGAACATCTCCTCCTTTCTCACCACAAACCCTGGATACTTTGGACGACTCTTTCATTTGTTGCTTCCTGTAAAATTGCTCCCTCATTCTGTTTGTGCAATTCAGATTTGTTTTTATCTGCAAGAAAATGCCTGTTCAGTCATTGAGACTAAGGCTGCTGTGGTGTGGGAGAAGTGTGTGGCCTGGGCTGTGGCGCAGTGAAGCAGCACCGCAGTCCCTCCTCAAGCCATGCCAGGGACGTGCGACCCCGGCTTTGCTGCTGGCCACCTCCACTGATGATCCTCAAGGACTGGGGGAGAGCTGCACTGCCTGGCACTATCTCTACTGGAAAGCACTGTTTGCATTTGTAATGCAAAGCAGACATGATTTCAGAACCTGATCTCTTTGACAACAAAGGCTGTAGAAGATTAGAAACACTTAGATTTGCAGTTCATTAAAAAATGTATTTCTCTTTGTAAAAGGAATTGGGCTTCTTAACTCATTTGCCTTGCTTCTCTCTTGAGTGTGTATTTCCATTTGCTAAAGGCATTTGCACCTTTAGTGTATTCTGGTATTTCTACGAACTGTGGATAGTTTTTTCCCACCAATTAGTTCCTCTGGGACTATTTTATTAAAGTCTTATTGGCATTTAAAATATGTAGATGATATCATTAATCCGATTTAAGTGTTGGTAAAGTTGGTAATACAAAATGTGAAAAAACAGTGCAAGGTACAATTATCAACATAATTATTTTCATTATCAATACAATTATATTTTTCAGTTGTTGCTTGCTTAACCTTTTTTATTTTTCTCCATTTCTTTCATTAGCTCTGATCTACTGCTGTGAGGCAGTTCTCTGTTTCTTCAAGCAGTATGAAGATAGAAGTGGACAGAACTATTAGCAGAAGAATAAAAGCCTTTTATCTCTCTGTTTGGCTGAATTCCAGTGAAGTCAACTCAGCCAGCAGAACTGTTCATTTTTCTAGGGGGATGAGCAATTGGGGTCTCAGTTTATTTTCCAGTCCCGAATGGTTTTACTGAAAAATCATGACAACCTATATGCTTGTAGGTAATATCAGGAAAAAGAGCCATAAAATACCATTTCATCCCTGGAAGTGTCCCAGGAATTATTTTAAAGGCCCACTCTATTCTGTTTCATTGGCAGGCTACCACCAGTGGCATTTCATCAGTACAATAGAGCAGCTCTTGCACCTGGGCATGACAGACAGCAAAATAAGTCAGTGCTGTAAGAACCGTGAAGTGAAAATGGTGAAAATAATGATGAGGAAGTGATTTAAGACAGAAATTCAGAGTGAAGAGGTAGGTTTAATTTTGGGAAAGGGAGGAAGCTCATGGGTGGTTTACATAGGCTAATTCTCATGTATTACAGTTCTTTGAGGGAACTAATTTGTTTTGACTTGAAATTGGGCTGCGTCTGATGGCACTTCTCTTTTTGTCTAAGGGAGTGATCATGGAGAGATTGTGAGCTAGTGAAGTCTGAATTGAAGGAAAATGCTGGTTTTGAAGCTCACAAATGCACATGAGTTCCCACACCTACACTGCAGCTGGGACTAATCAGTGGATGATGTTTTTTCCTCTGGGATTTTCATGTTGCTTTCCAGGCAGCACTCACTCGAACTAATGCAAGCAGATACTTCCAAACCTAAATCTATACCCCTAAGGGTAGCAATTCAAAGTTGAACTTATTGATGTAAATTAAGGAAGACTTAATTCAAAAGGTTTGTATATGTAAAATGATTCAGCTACATCAAACCCTGGGATTTCTTGATTTCTCAATTAAAGGAGCAGGTTAAGAAACCTGAATTCTGTTCTTACAAAGACTGTGTCAGTACAATGTGTTTTGTGGTATCATTTTCATCCTGTATATTTTGCTTACCATCTATCAAATGAGTCTGTAATATTAAATTAATTTTGGGGTTTTATTAGGTTCTACAAAATCCTTGAAGGTTTCCACATATTTGTGTTTGCGTGTGCATGACTCTTTGTCTTGCTTTGGCAAAGTGTCTTCTAACTGCATGAGGCTGCAGTTTGTGAAATGCCCGGGGAGGAGGCTATGTCAGTTGAAATTAGGGTGAATTGTGCAGGAAGCACATGTTTTCCTCATAGACATGATCTCAGCATCAATGAATAAAAAATATTTGTGCAGGCTCTCCCAACGGGAAGCAAGTGAATGAAAAATGAGAGCCACTCCTAATCTGTATGATACCTTAAAAAAGCACACAGGAACCAATTCAGTCTTTCAGACACAATTAAGGTTGCAGAGCTACCCTAAAAGAAAACCAAGTGTGCAACAGCCCTTCAAAAACTCACCCCCAGGCTACCTGAATGAAAGGCTGAGGTACAATACAGCATTAGAACAGCAATGGAGAAGAAAACAGCAATCAGAAAGGTTTATTCTTTAAATGAGCTGCAAAACCCCATTAAGTATTAAAAACGATGACCATACAGAAGAGCAGATTAATGTACAGTTCTGAAACACCAGTCCTGATCCAGATTCAGTGTTTAGCATGTGTGCTGGATAAAACCTCAGAGCCTTATTTTTGCATAGATTATTAAAGATTGTATTAATTCCTCTAATATCTAGGAAGCAACTGTGACTCCCACTTATCCTAAAACGGTTGGCAGGATCTAAAGTTGAATCCTGACAAGACTAGAGTAAGAGCACCATTGGGAGTTGTTTTTTAATCCCTTTTCTGGCACACAGAACAGTTCCTGGCCTCTGCATGGCCCCCTTTGTATGCTGTCAATCCCTTTGATTCTGCCCTTCTGAGCAAAAGGAGCATCGTCCAAAATTCACACATCCTTTCTGAGCCTGGGAGCCCCTTCACCTTGTCCCAGGTACTCTACAAAATGTATGGAATGGCCATGGATATAACACATCCAGAGTGAATTAAGAGATGCTGTTAAACAACACTTTAGTTCTGTAATGTGGGAGGTGAAAGGTGTCTAATTAGTAAGAAAAAGAACAGAAGGAAGAATAAAGAGATAACAATAACAAGGCAAGGGAGGAAAAAGGTGTTTAGTAATTCCCAAGACGAATACAAACACATGAAAGCAACTCAGGAATAGGCAACCTCTAATTGAGCTTTTTCTTTCAGTGCCACTATGTTACTGTAAACAGCTGAAGGGAAAGCTTTTTGAAAGAAACAAGCATGGATTACAAGAAAAGAGGAAACAATATTCATGATCATCATGAAGCATTTCATGATCATCAGGCTTCCTAATGCAATCCCTCATCTCAACTATTAGAAATGCTTTGAAGTCTGACGGCTGCTCTCTCTCTTCTTCCTCTCCAAAAATGTGGTCTTCTAAAGACAGCATGTTATCCAAAAGAAGAGTACTTCAAAATTTTTAAATGTTGCCATAGAGAGTTTCTTTAAAGTTATGTCAATTAGTTTGCTTTTATAATTCTATTAATAGCAGTCCAATGTCAGGTATTAGCAGATTTTGTTGTGGTACACCACATGTAGTCCCTCAAACATGGGAGAGCAAGGAAAACACAAGTTTAAGTGAGATGACACTGGATATCAATCATCCTCCATACCAGGAAATTCCAAGAAAGTAATCTCTGACTAATGTTTGTGCCAGTAAAACAATCTCATGTAATAAACTGATTCATTCAGATGTCAGTCCAGTGGTCAATTCTTAGCAAACCTGTAGCAGCTGAACGTCTTTTCTCTGAATATAGTGAGCAAATCTAACCTTTGTGTAGTTTGAACACGAAGCTGCTGGAAGAAGATACTATTTCCAGACAAAGATTTAAGAACTCTAAGCACAAATACAAATAAACTACTTATAAATTGCTTAGGAATACTTTAAAAAACCCCTCTAGAAACAGCAGCGTATTTTCTAGCTGAGAAATGTATGCCAAATGTTAGGTCTACTGTGGAAAAGATTGTCAACCCAGGCATTCAAATGAAATTCCCTCAGTGCTTTCCTAAACTGTGGTTGAACAAACCATGTGTGTTCTCTAGGATGAAGGTGTCCTATTCAAGTGACTCCCTCCTTATCCATCCTTTCATTGTAAGAGGATAGGAGGACACTGGAGGGCCACTCTTCACTCTGAGGGGACAGGTCTGGCTTACTGTGCTGCTAGGCAGGCTGGACCATCCCCAAAATGTCTGGGGAAACTGTTCTCACGAAGATGGGCCTGATGGTTTGTATTTAGAGAGATGGATAAATAAGGGCATTCAAATCCAGCAGATGCATATAATTAAAGAAACTTAATTTAAAAGATAAAGGTGTGGAAAGGAAGTATAGGAGAAGTGGGTTATTAGCTTTCTTCATAAACAATGCCATCCTTAAGAAAACCTTTGTTCCCTCAGTCTGTCTATTAAGGTTTAGTTTCCTGCTATACTTGCATATCTGCAGAATTATAGTAGAAGGCTCAAAATCGCATGGTTCATTGCACTGTGTTTACACCATGTTAATCTCAGGCCTCCACATTTCTTCCGAGGTACCCATAAGAGATCACAAAGATTTTTTTTTATTTAGTTTGGTATTCTGTTTGGCTTTGGTATAGTATTTCTACTAACATCTGAAGCATTGTAGTTTGGCTTTAGTTGCAGGTAGGATTTTGGCAAGGTACACACAGTAATCTGCACTTGATGTATTATGTTTTTCACACAAGATGAAAATCTGAATTCTTTGGAGAAATTGTGTTAGTAAGCTGACAGAAAAACCAAAGAGCATGAAATTCAGATGTGTTTGGTTGGTGTTTTGCTAATCCACTTAGCATAAAGCCAAGCACAGATATGGAGCCAAATGGGAATTGTATCTGCATCAGATCACAAGCAGGTATTAAGGTTTGTGTTCTACCCTTTTCTACAGACTGAGTCATGATATTACAGCAGGCTCACCTGGGACCTTTATTTAGGAAAGCCACTGCTTTTATAGGGATGTTATTAGCCCCAGGACTCTGTTATTACTGTTTCATTTGTGTGAAAATACAGCACACTTGGGCAAAAGGCAGTGTGTCTCCCCCATCGTGTGATGGTGCTTGGACTTGTCTGGAAGAAACATTTCTGGCATTTTTAACAAAAATCTTTGCAGCCAGGACCCTGTGGGTCAGGGAGCCCCTTTGGACTCTGTGCCATTGCAGTCTGTGTGCCACAGAATCTGCCCAGCAAACAAAACGGGCAGCAAAAGCCTCTGTGGGCACTGGCAGAGTTTCTGAGCGTAACCCAGACACGAGGCAGACCTGTGCTGACACACACAGGTGGCTGAGTGCACGCAGAACAGCCAAACTTGAGAGCCTGTGCAATTGTGTGTATGGGAACTTAAGGATCGACAAGGTTAGATAAAAGGGTTTGTGACTGAGTGATGCCATAATATTGGGAAAAGGCCCTAAAAGGTAAGTTCTGTTGCACTTGGCCCTAAATCTGTTCCTTTAATACCTAAAAAATGCCACATGCTTTCATGGTGACTTCTTCTTCAAGGGAAATGGTGCCAGAAGATCAAAAATATAAGTGCCAAGGAAACTTTGTTGGTAAGAAACCTTGAAGGCACCCTGTTGGTGCCTTCAGTTCCAAGCGCAGTCCTGGCCGCAGCATGCTGGGAGGTGTAGAAAAATTGAGTTCTGTACTTTGTTATTTCCTATTTTACAGGAACATTTAATGGGTGAATGCTATCAGCTTCTATGGTCAGATGGTTATTCATAACAACTTAAGCTGTTTTCAAGCTCTACTTGATTTCTTGGTGGAGCTTGTCAGTGAGACCCTCTTTGCCTTCAGTTTTGGAGTGGGTCTAGCTCCGCTCCTTTACATGGAGTAGTTTTGTCACCCTTCAGCCAGTCAGCTTCTGGCACATGCTTTAGCTTTTGACAAAAGGGCTGGCTTGGCTTTTCCATGACAGAATACCAGGTAGATCATTCCCCTCCAGAGGATGCACGCCACCATCCCCTCACACAACGCCACTTCACCACGCAGCGCTACGAAACCAGAGCTCTGCTGCCAGCATGTGCTGGAGGGCTGAGGGCCAGAGAGCTGGTACTGATCACCCCAAACACGCTGCCGCGGCCAGCTTAAAACCCTGGCAGTCTTTAGGCGGCTCCCTAGCGCCTTTAGGCGCTGTCCCTTCAGCGCTTTCTGCCACTACAGACACAAGGAGACCTCAGCAGCCGCACCCCGGCCAGCACAGCGGCAATGGCGGACAGGGTCACGTGACGCCGGCGGCCTATTTAAACGCCGCTAGGAAGCAGCGTTATTTTTTCCCCTCTCAGGGGAAGGGACTGGCGGCGGCTGCGGGATCTGTTCCGTGGGGCCTGCCCGGGGCCCGGGCTGAGCCAAGCCCAGTCCAGTCCAGCCCAGCCCAACCCAACCCAACCCAGCATTGCCTTGCCTTGCCTTGCCTTGCCTTGCCCGCTCAGGGGGCACTGCTCTCGCGGTGTCGTGCGCTCTCCCGGCCGCGCGATGCGCGATGCTCGGCGGGCCCAGCTCTGGTGAGCAGCGGCAGCGATGAGAATTCGTGACTAGGGATGATTGAAGCTTCGTAATAGCTGCGAGTTTGCAATGCCTTGGGAGTGCTGGAGGTGTTGCCCAGGAATAGCACTGTGCGTACGGGTAGAATTAAAACCAGTTTGCTGCTGTGGGTTTGGTTGGTTTGGTTTTTCCTCCCTGGGATGACTTGGCGGGGGGTCCGGAGATTCCTCGGGTTGTTGTTGTGCCGGGGCTCCCCCCGTCCCTGCCTTGGGGCTGGGTGGCTCTGAGGGGCTCTGCAGTGCTGCTGCATCGGGAAATGTCCGGCTGACCCCGCTGAGCCGCCCGCGGGCCAGGGCGGTGAAGGAAGGGCCGCCATTTGAGCACCCAAGGGTGATTCCTTGTAATCTTTCCTTGCTTCGGTTCTCTCTGCAGTACCAACACTAGTTTTGGGTAGTAAGGCTAGCGAGTCCTCCATACCACATAATTTCAGTGCAAGTCTTGCCTAGCATGAATCTCAAATAGGAGCTTTTTTATTTTTTTGTCAGGTGGTGGAGGGGATTTTTCTTTGTGTTTCTTGGTTTGTTTAGTGAACTTTTATCCTAATGTGTGGCTACTTCAAACAAAGTCTCCAAATTTTGAATATGAAAGTAACATCTGGTTCGTGTTCAGTACTGTTATGAGCAGCATATGCAAATAGAGTTTTGTATTTTAACAAAGCACTCTTGGATTGTCATTCTAATGAAACTTTCCTACGTCCCAATTATCCTAATGTCAGGCAGGGATTTGCTCACTCTTGCTTCAGCTGAAAGAGAAACAAACTTGCTAAAAATTTCAGTGCAAAACTATCCCTTAGGATGACTGTCCATTTTAATAGCATTAGTTAATCTCCAACTTGCAGTTTCTTCTACTTACTGTATTTTAAGGTCTCTAGGCAATACATAAAATCTCTTTTAAGGTCTTCTACCATCTGTTGTGCAGATTGTATCAGGCATGGACTGTTACTAAGCTGACACCCAGCTCTTCACACATACTTGAGACTGCTCCAAGCTAAAGTGGCTTGGAAAGGACATGCTGAGCTAGGAGTGTTGGGAGTGTCTCTAGTGTTTTATTGGGGTGTGCATTTGACTTGGGAGAGGGCTCCTTTGAGGCCCACCTAGGGAATAATTGTGCCAGAATTTCCTGTTGGCTTTGCTTCTGGGATTTCATCTGTATTCCTCTTGTGGTTTGAGTTGTTGCTACAAGATGTTGATTAGGAGAAATTCTTGCTGAGTTTCTTGTTTCTGTTTTTTGTTGTATTGTTTGCCTGATGACTCAAATAATGAAGTCTTCCAACTGTTGTATATCACTGTGATAAACCTACTTTAATGTGAGAAAGAAAATTAGGAATAAAGTGTTATGGAATTTTATTTTTACATTGGATAAGTAGTTTATCACAGTGTCTATAACTGTTGTGCAGATTACTTGTCAGGGAAAAAAACCAAACCTACACCCAAAAACTTCCTTCTTTGTAAAGTTTTCTATCTGTGTGTAAGTGAAATGTTTCCTTTGTCTATTCTAAAGAAAAAGGATTTAGTTGTTCTTCACATAACCAATTTCTCCCTTCCTTCTCCCTCTTCAATCATTTGCAATTTGAATGCTCTGGAGAAGGATGGTAAAATAAGAGGTGAGAAAGGTGATGGTATTGACACAAATCAGACTTACTGACCAATTGGTTTTTTGGTGTGTTGTGGCACTCCAGTATTGCTTTAGTGAGATTCAGAGAAGGAAATTTGGTGACAGCAAGTATTGGTGAGCTCAGGAATGATGTTATAGATGTAGGTCCATCAGCTTACTGCTTCTCTTTAATAGTCACCTACCTGGCATTGTCTTCTTTCTCATTTATTGGGGTGGGCATATTTGCAGTTATATAGCCACATTTATATTTATAAATTAAAATTTGTATTAAAACCCATGTCTTTTCAAATGAATTGTGATTTTTCTGTAGGATCTCTTCATGGTACTTCATTAAAGTGAACTGTAGTACTGCACTTGCCCCAGTCATGCAGTACTTGGCTATAGATCATATGACTGAAGTCTTGTTAAATCACAGCTCACTTCAGTCAAGAGAGGACACAGCTGTGAAGGTCATAGTGCAAAAGGCCTCCCAAAGGCTTGAGCATTGTCAGCCTCTCCTGCAAGAGATCAGCTATTTCAGCTGGAGACTCCAAGCAAGGAATACAAGAGCTGTAGCCATAACCTTATGCCTAAGCTCATAACCTAAGTTCAACAAGTCTTTGAAGACAGTTACCTTTCTTCAGTAAATTCCCATCCTGTAGTCACCTTGCTCAGCACAGCTGGGTTAGAAGTGTCTAACATACAGACAAGAGCAGTTGAAAGCCTGTCCAGCAGTGTTTGTGACTCCATGAAGAACAGGGCTTATATCATGCTTCAATCATTTAGCTTGCACTGTTGCTTTTTAATAATCTCTCAGGTAAAGCAGTAAAAGGTGAATTGATCTTAAAGGTACAGAACTTATGGCTGCCTTCTCTGAAAGCCAACCAAACACCACAGCTTATTTGTTTCAAGAGGACTTTTGTAGAGAAATGCCTATCATTGCTAACAGGTGAAGAAATTTGTGGAAGAAATATCTGTCCAGTTTCCTGCTTCCTTTTCTTTATGTTTTCCCTAGTGAGTAAGACTAGCCAGAAGCATTTTTCTTAATATTTTAAGGTTATGGGAATACTGCAGTGGAAAACGAAGTGTTATGGTCACAGCTGGTAATGAAGATTTCTGGAGTTAGTGGTTATGGAAGCCTGAATATGACAGGAGATTCAAGCTCAGAGTCACTGAACTTCTTTGTGGTGGCTTGAGATGCACAAATCGTAGAGCTCAATTTTAAATCATGTTGTATAATATTGGGATCAGAGGAGGGGAAAAAAGGCAACAAAACCAAACTAAACCCTTGTCTTGGTTTACCTGACTCTGAGAATCCACCTGCAAATGAAGCAGGTGGGAAACTGGCAATCCTGACAAGAACCTACAACAGGTCAATTACTTTTGCATGGTACAGACATGACAAGTGGAGCTAATCCCAGCTGCTTGCCTCCTGTACACAGAGGCAAAAGATGAGATTAAACTGGGCCATCAATTCTAGTGCAGAAATACTGAAGCATCTGTCAAATGTTTGACACTTACGAAACCAAAATTTGTTCAGTCTGGCACTGCTGGAGGAGCATCTGGTAAAAAAAAGCAGAACCTGGAACAACTTCAAACAAAGTCTTGTTCCTGGAAGGGTATTGCTATGGTAACTAAGTTATCTTAGCCTCACTCTTCCCTTTAAACTAGCCAAAAAGCATCAAAGTGTCCCACAGGTAATACAGATTCACCGAACAGGTTCATAATTTCTAGTAGTGAAGTTATTTCAGTGTTCTTTTTCAGATATCTTAAAAATCCTTATATGGGTAGAAATTAGGTCTCTAATACTAGAATGACTAAGGAGTGAAAATGAAAACTGAATTCAGTGTGGTGGATTCCATGGAACTTGTCACATTGGGAGTGACTATTGTAATGAATACTTGGGAAATCATGGTGTTGGTTTGCTTCTGCTGTGTAAAAGGAAACATAGCCCAAGGTTTCCATCATGATTTGAAAGTATAATATATATATATATATATTCTGAACTACATTATATGTTAATTTTCTGTTTTATTTTTCTTGCAAATTATACCTCTTTTAGCACAGTTACATTATAAATTTTACCTTGAAAGCTGTGTTGTATTGGCAGAAGATGAAAGCATGAGTATACTGTCATATTCATGGTCTAATCTTAATTCTAAATGATGTTTCATGGTAATATCACTTAGCTACAGCTCTCCTGTCTTTTAAATGGAGATAGAATTTGCTAGTCACATAAAGTTGTTCTGAGAATTAATTGCTTAATGTGGTATGTATGCACTGCTTTGAAAATTAGGGCATATAGGTGATGAACATCATTACCAGGTAATTACTATTAATATACTGAGTTCTAATTAAAGCAACTATTGGTAGATGAAGAAGGTAGTGTCTGATTGCCCATTTTGATGTCAATAATGCTACAGTCATAAACCTGATATAATGGAGTGAAGAAGCAGCTGTGGGAATTGCTGCTACTTTTAAGGAATTCCTTTCATCATTGTAACCTAATGGTAAAATGAATACACATTTTAGCATTTACCCTGTACAGGGAGTGATAACTGTAACTGCTGCCAAGCAGATTTAGCATAAACAGAAATGAAATAGGGCCCTGCATGTCTCTAGACAGGAGATTGTTCATCACTGGCAGCATCTTGAGTTGTCTTTTGTCACCCCATTGGTAGATGGTGCTGTGTAGTGTTTTTGCTGCAAGCAAAATGCCCAATGTAAGTTTTAAATTAGGGGAGTTTTTTAAAAAGCATCTTGGCAACTGTATGTATGAGTGTAAACAGGTCATTGTGTTAGAATAGCAAAAGCTCTGCTGATCAAATTGTTAGGATAGGAGTTCAGTATCCAGGCTGGGGATGAAGTTAAGAATGTGGATGCTGTAAGACTTAATTTCTGAGATAGATCCTAAGGAGTTCTGTGTACTCACTGTCTCAGTATTGGAACTGCACAGGTGAATTATCTGCTCGAGGCTGGGTGATTATTTAGGAATGTAAAGCAGAGCAATTTCATCTGAGACCATGAATTAACAGTTCCTTCAGTTTCAGTAGTGTTGCAGTTCAGAAATAAGTATGGCCAGCAAATAAAGCACCAGAGTATCTTACCTAGTATGGACCTCCCAACAAAATAGTTTCTAAAGAGAATTTGTTAAACTTGTCATATTTAACAAATAAAAATATTTTTTTGAGTTTTGGGAGGAGGTGTAATAAAATTCCTAACTTCACAAGATGGAGAATTTGGGAAGCTGATTTAATAAGCCTTGTTATTTACATCCAAAGCCACCTTATAATTCTGATAATTGTCAGGATACTGAGAGGGAAGTGATTAACTGTTTCTTTCCACTGCATTGTAGAGGAACCTGCAACAAAAGGTTACTATTAAGAAGCAATCTTAGAAGAGCTGAATGTGTGTGATGTCTTGTGGCTTCAGAAAAGGATTGTAAAATACTGCCCCATGTTTCAGAGTGTCTCTAATT